AGAATTCCCCATGCTGACTGGGGAATTCTGGGAGTTGAAGTCCGCGCATCTTAAAGTTGCTGGGGTTGAGAAACACTGCATTAAGATATAATCAGGGACGTGAGAGAGATGGGCTCAACTCATTCAATTGTAGCATGACTGTGGACTGATTAGATAATGGCTCGACTTAGCCCACCTCGCAGGATTGTTGTGAAGCTAAAATCAGGAGAATCCCCTGCACCCCTGTCCTTAAGCTCAGAGAAAAAAAGACAACGTCTTGGTGTTAGAATAAAGGAAATAAATGGTTAGGATAAAATTAGGAAGGCGACCCACTTGGAAGGAGAATAACCCAAATGCGTAACTTGAGCAAGTTAACATTGTTCACTGTGATCCCAACTAATTACAATTTATGTAGCAAACTAGGGTTAAGCAATTCAGGCTTGGTCCAATGTGTGGTTCTCAGGACTCACTGCCTACAATATGGGGGGAGCTGTGTGGAAGTCCCACCCCGCAGGGGTGTTTCCCAACATCAATTGCACAATCCTGGGCTTGTTTTATTCGAGGAAACAACCGGCTGACGCCTTTGCAATTTTTTGCAATTCTCTTTTCCTTTTAGGGGCTGAACAAGAGAGTCACGAGGCCCCCCAAGAGGAAGGAGGGCCGCTGGTCCGGCGTGGGGGACGTCAGCTCCGTTCAAGAGCCGTATCCTCTCTGGAGTCGGGAGAACATGGCAGTGGTCCCTAGCGGTCAGACCCCTTTGGCCCAAACCAGCTGCTTAAGTGCAACCATGTGGTCTCTTTTCCTCGGGGCCTTTTCAAGCGGAAATGGAACGATTGGAGGAATTCCGAACGTTTAAACCTGCTCCGTGGGAACAGCAAATCGAGGAGGGGTCTGCAAGAGAGAAGAAAAAGGAGGGATCCAAGAACTAAAAGGCGGAGTGTTGTGGATCTCATCTTTTTCTCGCTGGGGATCAGTCCAGTGTGGCCCCCAAAACTTGAAGAGGACAGCCCCTTCCAAAGTTCACCAAATTGTCCTTTTTGATGTCCCCGGAGAGGAAAATTATTCAGTATATGGGGGACAAATGGGAATTAATTTAATTCTGATGTCATGGAAATGTCAGTTCTGTCCAGCCATGCTGGCCTGATTTGTGGAGGAAAGCTTGGGGCTTTGTGTGATTGTATAGAGGCGCCTATATTTTGTGGTTGAGCCTTAACTCTTTGCAGTCTGGATGTCGACGAGGAAGAGGAGGACTTGCTGGGTGCATACGCGTCGCCCTCCAAAGTAAGCGGGGGAAGCTTGAGTCACGGATCTCCTTCGCGGTGGCTTGTAGAAGGAGATCCTGTGGGATTTTATTTCGGCCTGTAGCGAAGGATGACGCAAAAGCTGCTTTTGCTGCCCAGCCACTGAAATCTTGAGATAGACTGCCTCTCAGACTGGAGGTTCTGGTCCTAACGATTGCAGCTAAGAGAAGCCCTGCTGGAAAAGGCCTGGATCTGCGGAGCTTGATCTGGCAGGACCTCCCTCTCACGGCCATTCCCAGCAACTAAGATTCAGTGGCATTTCACTGGCGTGGGAAAAAGGGTAGCTTGATCAGCGCTGCTGAAAAACCAGCTCTTTTGTGCTGCTGATGATTTATATTTAGTGTTTTTTTAGGAATTGATAGCTGGGCCTCTTCCTTTCCTTTCCTGCCCCTCCCTCCCTTCCTCCCCCCCCCCCCCTCCTCTCACCCCTCTCTCCCCTCTCTCTCCTT